TTTTAAAGAGGTTACGGTTGACTGACAGGTTGATGCTAAATGCAAGCAACTTTCTCATTAGAAGACAGCATGGGAACAGTTGCTTGGTGTACAGACTGACCCTGCATCTCACATCCGAGGGCCTGTGTGACAATCCCAGCTCCACTTTCAACTCCAGCCTGCTGACAACCCTGTGTCCTGGGAGGCAGCTCAAGCAGTTGAGTCCCTGCTGCCCAGGTGGGAGACCTGGATGGAGTTCCTGGCTCCTGGCTGCAGCGTGGCCCAGGCCTAGCTTTCAGAATTATTTGGGGAATGATTCAGTAGCTGGAAAATGTGTGTGTGTTTCTATTCCTTTTTCTCTCTGTGTGCCTTTTAAATAAATATATATATTGAAAGTTAATATTTAATCCATAATTTGTACATAGTATATCATAAATACAGATAATTATGCCATAAAAATTATATATTATAGAACATATTGTGTAAGAGGTTATTAGCATAAGACATTATATGTTTGATTTATTATAATTTTGTATACTTATAACCATGACATAATATACAATTCATATAAATTTTTTTTCCCTCAGGGCAGTGGATTTCCCTTAAATTCTAAAACCTACATTTAAAGAGCACATAAAAGTACTGTTTAGGTGGAGACACCATGAAAATAAGTTCCACAGAACAGTAAATGGTCATCCAATTGTTCATCTTGAACTATTTAATGGGGTGCTTGAAGAGCAGTCACATCTATGGTACAGGATGAAGAATTTTGGAAACAAAAAAGTTTTCCTCTAATAGGTTTAAAAACCTGTGTAGCAGAAGGTCAATCCCCGATTTCATCCAGACAGCAGTTCTAGGAGCTAGACAGGGCCAGCTGTTTGGCATAGCATGTTACATGCACAGGCTCTGGAACTAGAATGCCTGGGTTGAATTACTGACTCTCCCTTGAACCAGCTGTGAGAGCCTCAGGCACTGCTTCAAACTGCCTCACTTACCCACCACAAGAACCAGTATCATCTTCCTTATAGGGTTGGGGAAATTAATCAATTAACACAGGTAGTCCTCTGGGGGTAGAGCCCAGAACATGGGCAGCAGCAGCCAGCACAAGCCAGCAGTCCCACAAGTTTGTGTTGACTGTTGTTATTGCTGCTGCTTCATTTGTGAACCCTTGCGAGCAGGTGCATCCCCACAGCAGGTGTACCTGCTTTCCCAGCCACAATGCAGAGTGAGTCACAATAAAATCATGCTGCCAACTTCCTGAACGATTGAATTACCCAAGCATCCACTTAGAATCACTCGAAAACATGACCCTTTCTTTCTGAAATCCATAGACCCTTTCCTCAACCCCGCCTTTCCTTTTCAGGAACTTTGAAATCCCCAAAGAAGGTGATTTGAAAATGATTTATTTTATTGCCACTCCCTTTATAATTCCTTTTCTTCATTCATACTCCTGCTTCATTTGCACCTAAAGAAAGACGATAGTTCATTAAACTGCCACTCCAACTGCAGTTTATAAACCCCCTGGATAACGTGAGCACGCCCTATCTACATAGGACTTATTGTGTTTTGCGTCTTCCTTTAAAATGAACAGGGTCACCACACCTTGGAGAAATTATAGACATTTTGTATGAGCTAACGTGCACTTGTTTTTAAAGATCTAGTTTGTACATGATTTGTCATTAAATTTCATTTTAGTCTCAGTTCTAAGTATGCCTCAATAAAATGGACTTTCACCAATGCTCAAATACCTGGTGACAGACAAAATAATGTCCTCTCCCCCAACAACATTGTAAAATACTAGGTTAGGCCTGGCGTGGTTGCCCTGCAGCTAAAGTCCTCATCTCGCATGTGCCGGGATCTCTTATGAGTGCCAATTCGTATCGCAACAGCCCCACTTCTCATCCAGCTTTCTGCTTGTGGCTTGGGAGAGCAGTCAAGAATGGCCCAAAGCCTTGAGACCTTCCACCCATGTGGGATACCTGGAAGTGGCTACTGGCTTCAGATCAGTTCAGCGCTGGCCACTGCGGCCACTTGGGGAGTGGACCATCAGATAGAAGATCTTTGTCTCTCCTTCTCTCTGTAAATCTGCCTTTCCAATAAAAACAAATCTTTAAAAACAAACCCTAGTTTAATACAACAAAGAGGAAACTAAGATTGTAAATGGAATTAAGGTAAATAATCAGCGGATTTTCAAATAGGAAGATTATTCTGGATTATTCTGGCAGGCCCAAATCACAAATATCCTTAAAAGTAGAAGACGGGAAGTGAGGCAGAACTTGGAGGGATGCAATGTGAGGACTCAGCCTGGGAAGATTCTAGAAGCTAGACGGTAAGGAGATCGACTCTCCCAAGGAGCTTCCAATGTGGAAGACAGTCCTGCAGACAATTTCAGGTGAGCCCAGTGAGCTATGTGTCAACACAGAACCTTCAGAATGTGTGTTAGTGAATGTGAGTCCTTGCCAACTACTGCTTTCTGGTTTATCTGAGCCCACCTCCCATTTCTGAACACCTGGCCAGCAGCCTGAGCCTCCCCACTTCACTGCTCATCTCTTTGTATTGTCTTTGTGTACATATATACACGTTTTCACTTTTTTAAAAAATACTTATTTTTGTTTGAAAGGCAGATGGAGAAGATCTTCCATTCACTGGTTCATTCCCCAAACAGCTGTGATAGCCAGAGCTCAGCTGACTCAAAGACAAGAACCAGTAGCTTCCTCCAGGTCTCCAACATGAATGCAGGGTTCCAAGGTTTGGGGCCATGGACATGAACAGCCGGGACATGAGCCAGTGCCTGTATGGGATGCCAGTGCCACAGGACAGATGACGAGCCCATCGTCCTGCCATGTCATCCCTGCATGTTCATGTTTATTTAAGACAGAAAGACAGAAAGACAGATCTCCCATGTGCAAGTTTACTCTCCAAATGCCAGCAACAGCCAGGCCTGGGCCAGGCTGAAGCAAGAGACTCAAGCCGAGTCTCCCGGTGGATATCACGGACCTAAACACCTGACAGCCATTGTTGGCAGCTCTGACACCACACGGCACTGCAGGTATGTGCATTCCCATACTGCCTATACTCTTGTTGTTTGGGACATTTTGTATGCCAACAAAGCCTGTCTCCTAGAAGAATAAAAAGCAGCAACCTGATCTGATCTTTTTTTTTTTAAGATTTATTTTTATTGGAAAGGCAGATATACAGAGAGGAGGAGAGACAAAGAGGAAGATCTTTCATCCGATGATTCACTCCCCAAGTGACCACAACGGCCGGTGCTATGCCGGTCTGAAGCCAGGAGCCAGGAACTTCTTCCAGGTCTCCCAGGCGGGTGCAGGGTCCCAAGACTTTGGGCCATCCTCGACTGCCTTCCTAGGCCCCAAGCAGGGAGCTGGATGGGAAGTGGAGCTGTCGGGACTAGAACTGGTGCCCACATGGGATCCTGGCATGTTCAAGGCGAGGACCTTAACCGCTAGGCCACTGCACCAGGCCCTGCACAGCTAAAGTTTAAAACTCAGAGAAATTGGTCACAGATGGTCCCATATTCTTGCCAGCAGCCATCCTCCCAACCTTTCTTCCTGGAAAATGAACCTCAACTTGTCTCCAGACTGGCAAAGATCCCTTGAATTCAGAAAAGGTAAATCTCCATTGTGGAACCCATGAGAGAAATCCTAAACCGTGGCCATTCCAACCCCTTCATCGGTGATTGGTCTAATGGTAGGCAGGTGGCACAGTTCTGATCAATGAGATGTAAGCAAAAGTCTGATGGAGAAACCAGAAGCCAAAACCCTGCTCGGAATGAAGATGCAATGCTGGACATGTGGCATCTGTTATTCAGCCATGAACACAAAAGCCAGTGTCGTAAGAATGAGAGACAGGGAAGTGGGCTCCTTCCTGACAATACCAAACTGCTACTCTTTTCCTGGTTAACGCAGCTTCAGGGTCCTGTACTAGGAGAAGACCAAACTGGAAGTTACTTAGTTACTTAGGGCCACTCTAAGGCGGACTGGCTGATGTACAGACATCCACATCTAGCTCCTCAGAAAGCTAAGGGAAAGTCACGCAGCTTACAGGGGAATCTTGTACAATCTTGACTGACTGCTACAAACCCCAACTCTCACAGGCTCGCTCTCTCTCTCTCACTCACTCACACACACACACACACACACACACACACACACACGGGGGGGGGGGGGGAGGATGTGAAACATAATCCCAGCAGAAGACAGACCTCCAATGCAGTGCAAATGTTTTTCTTTCCCCATCCTCAAATGAAAGGACTTTTCTCCTTCAATTAAAGGGGTCCACTGAGGAAGGGGTGTATGGGCAAAGCACTCATATATCCCACTGTGCCAGGCTGTTAATATTCTGAAATTTTCAAAAGAAATATTTTAACAAATGCTGTTTATCTCTGTAACACACTGGGAAGCAGAAATATGAAAGACCAACGCGCAAACCGGATTCAGTCACACAGATGAATTGAGGCACACGACAGGATGGCCAAAGCCCTCAAAAAGGAATAGAAATACACAGAAAATGTACAGCGATGCTCTTGAATGGCACTTAAGACTGACTTAATCCTGAGAATTTAAAAGCAACAAAAGATAGTTACACAATTAATTAGACAATTATACAAACATTAAAATATTTGTGAGTGGAAGGAAGAGCAGGCATTTTTCTAGACACACAGGTATAAGTATGCCACTATTTTAACCCTGTAGTTAATCTTTAATCTGACTTGTAACCAAAAAATTGCTGTAGTAGCACAGTTTCATCCGTAAGAACATCCATCAAATGAGCACATCCCGCCCCAAACCCCCGGGGAGGATTTCACAGCATAAAGGAGGTAGACCAATTTTTCTTCTCAAATATCAAGCTATCCCAAATATTTCCAGCAAACAGAGTGGTGGAAAATATCACATTCAGTCCTATTCAAGCCACACTCGGCGATATTTTCTATTATTGACGAACATGACAGAAGTTTCCCCTTTAAAGTCTGAGTGACGTGGGTAGTGGGCCCAAAAACCTACCTTGGAGATGATCAGGGGCTCTCCGTGCTCCAGGCCACCTTTCAGCGTGAAACCCCACGGAGCCCCTCCTTCCAGGAAGGCTTCCAGGTAAATGTACCTTCCCTGGGGCGCCAGGTCCCGGCCCAGCGTGGCGCCGGCCTCCTCGACGTGCTCAGGGGTCCTCATCACGCCAAAACCATGGTCCGGCCGGCGGCAAGGAGAAGTGCGCGGGGCACGCTCGGCAGGCGCAGCCCCCAGCACCGGTTACCCCATGCTTGGCGCGGGGCACGCCGGCCCAGGACAAGGACGCCCCAGACGCGCGGCGCTTCGCCGCGGCTGCTTCTGGAAGCGGGGAACTGGGGGTCTCCGTCTGGCGCTCTTCTGACTGGGGAGATCTTCCCGAAGGAATGCCGGGTTCGCGTCACAGCCCCCGAGGGTCTGCAGCTCTCCGCTCCGCGGGCTACAGCCGCCCGCACAGCCACTCGGACGCGACCACGGCTCCGGTTTCACGAACGCACACGTCAAAGAGGTTTCTGTGTAAGTTCCAGAGAAAGGGGAATGCCGCTCGCCGCTGAGGAAGGTTGAAAAAAAAACTGCGACAACTCCCAGGCACACCTCCTTTTTTTTTTTTTTTTTCCTTTTTGATTGATGAGCAACCTTTCTTCCTCCCAGAGCAAAATTTACCATTACAATAGCCGCTTCCCTCCCCAAACCCGGCTTTCTAAACCAGCCAGCATCAGACTTCAGCCTGAGGTCGCATTCCCTAACTTGTCCCAAAGAGGCTGGCGCTGCTCTGCGACTTGGTCCGGTTTTCTTTTTCTTTTCTTTTTCTTTCTATTTTTTCTTTTCTTTTCTGTTTTCTTTTCCTTCTCTCTCTCTCTCTTTCCCCCAGGAGTTAAGTTCACAGCTTGTTTAGTGGGAGCGGGGGAGGAGGAGGAGAGAGGTGCAGAATATAGCGAAAATGAAAAAAATACTAATCCTCAATGGGGGACGGGGGAACCATCTAGATGGCAGGTCAGGATTTTTCTTTGATATTTTCTGGGATGAGAAGAGAGAAAGGGAAGGAAACGCAACCTTAAGCCTTGCTAGACACAATTTAGCTCATTACAGCAACCTAATAATTAAAAACAGACTTAGAGCTGAGGTAAAACGCAGAAAGTTCAAACTAACAGACACGTGGCTAATTATCAAGGCCTGGAACAAGGCTGCTAGAATAACCCCGCCTTATAGCAATTAAAGGGGAGCTGCCTGGAAGGAGACACGGGCATTGTTATTAAAAAAAAAAAAAAAAAAAAAAACCTGGAGGCGGTACTACAACAGCCGAGTTTCAGAAGCCGCGCCTGCGCTCTTTGGGCTAACAGGGACGTGTCCAGGTCGAGGCACCGGGCGGCCCGTGGTTCCCTAGACGCTAAGATCAAGTTTACTATTGGCTTGCAGGACTCGCCAATCCATTTCCTGCTTACTCGGCTCCACGCAAACCCAGGATAGCCTTTCTCCTTTCTACGTTCTCGGTCTTTCCTACTGCCAGATTGTGATCCAGTCTCCTAATCAAAAGTCTTGAAAGTAGTAGGGCTGTTCTCATTTCAGGCTATCAATGTCAGATTGTGATGAGATTACAGAAAATCTAACACGACTATTTGTAATTCACGGTTTCTGCAGTAAAGCCTCAATTGTAAAGTTAGTGGAACAAATTAGAATCAACTCCCAAGAAATGTTTACCCAAACTTTTTTTCTTTATCCTAAAGGTATTTATTTATGTGAAAGTCAGAGTTGCGCGGAGCCAGGTGGAAGCCACGAAGCAGGAGCTTTTTTCCAGTTTTCCCATGTGGGCGCCGGGATCCAAGGACCTGATCCATCTTCCACTCCTTTGCCAGGCACATTACCAGGGAGCTGGACCACAAGTGGAACAGCCAGGAATCCAACTGGTGCCCACACAGAATGCCTGCAAGACTTTCCCTGTTTAGAAGTATGTGATTAAAGTGAATTGTGTGAAAAATGAAGTTTGAAACTACTACAGGATTTGAAAATAATTTGATTTTGGTATTTGCACTTGTACCTAATGAAAGGTTTATGTACAGAAAAGATATAATTATCAAATAATATTTTAATATTTTGTATATATCACAAGTGTATGTGTGAGTATATGTATATATATGCCATATGCAATTTGATTTTCAGTAGTAACTTCATTTGAAGGGCTAGAGAGCAAAAAAGCAAGATTTTGGACCTGGCACAGTAGCCTAATGGCTAGAGTCCTCACCTTGACCACACCAGGATCCCATATGGATGCTGGTTCTAATCCCAACTGCTCCATTTTCCATCCAGCTCCCTATTTGTGGTCTGGGAAAGCAGTCAAGGATGGCCAAAGCCTTGGGACCCTGCACCCATGTGGGAGACCTGGAGGAGGTTCCTGGCTCCTGGCTTCAGACTGGCATAGCACCGGCCATTGTGGTCACTTGGGGAGTGAATCATCGGATGAAAGATCTTCTTCTTTGTCTCTCCTCTTCTCTGTATATCTGACTTTGCAATAAAAATAAAATAAATCTTTAAAAAATGAATAAATCTTTTTTCAAAGCAAGATTTCATATTTGCATAATGTTAGTATTTTTATAAAAATATGTGTCAAAGAAAAGTATGTAGTAAAAATTGACTGATCCAGGCAGTTTACTTTTTTTTTTTTTACTATGGTTTCAGTTTAATTTAAAAATAATAAAGAAAAGCATCTGCTTCTCTTTCATCTCATTATTCAAAGTACATAAATAGCTTTGAATTAAAATGTGTAAATAAATTAACAGTTTTATTCTGTAAAAATAATTTTCTGTGACTCCTCTGCTTGGCACTTAGAATACTTTGCAAAAAATATAAATTGAATTTTACAGAACCAATATGTAATATTAGAAGTCATGAAATTACTTTATGCGCCAAAATAAATACAGTTTTAAATTGCACCTGAAAAACAATGAAAGACCTTAGAATCCAATTAAGAGACTCCATCTGCTCAGCCTAGGTGACCTTAAGGCAAGGTCTCCCTGAAGAGATAAGACTATGTAATCAAAGGATTGATAGTTACAATCCTGACTGGCTGAAATATAGTTAACCAATCCTAAGTATGACTGTGGAATCCCCCTAAACTGTGTAAGAATCCTGTGATTTTATAACTTGGGGCTCTCTCAACCAAGGACCACTGCGTCGGTGACAATTGGAGGCCCAAACTTGAGTTTGAATAAACCGCCCTTGTACACTTGCATGGAAGTTCGACTCCAGCTAGTTCATTTGGGGAAGACCCGAGGCTCAGAGACCAGAGCCTGTTGCCGAACCTGGGCTGAGCCATTACCAGGCCTGCTGCCAAGCTGCAAACGGAGCTGTGACACTTTAACAGTGGCTGACACTGCTCCCAGCAGAACCGGGACACGTCCCAGCTGCGTGGCTAGTTGTCCCCGCTGTGGCGGCTTGCCGCTTCTGCAACTAGCAGCCAAGCTGCCACTGAACTGTAACACAGGGGCGGTCGTGGGCTCCTAGCAGGTGCCCGTAGTATTAAGGATAAAGTGTTTCAAAATTTCTCATTTCTTGATTTTAAGTGTTATAAATTCCCCTAATGGTTTTTTCCTGCTATTTATTTATTTATTTATTTATTTATCCTAGCATTTTCTAAAATGGGATCTCCAACTTAACCAGACTTTTTGGGATGCTTCTAAAATTAACACTTAATGCCCTCGGATACTTCTGAGATTTTGAAGCACTAGATAACCTCTGAAAATAAAGCCACAGTGACACCTAGTGGCTTTTCTGGCTCATGAAGGAATCATTAAAGTTACTGTAGGCAAGATTATCAAGCTTTTCTTAGAATACTGAACCATCACAGTCAAGTAGCAATCTTTTTAAAGTTTGATTTTTTTTTACAACTTCTCTAAACAACCTTTCAGTGGCAAAAAAGAATCACGTGTCTCCCTCTTAAGATAGAGAAGCATTGGGGGTCTTCCCTCCTTTAGACCTCTCTCTTTCTCTTGAATAAATCTTGCTTTGCAAAAAAAAAAAAAAAAAAAAAAGATTAAGAAGCACTTTCCCAGTGAGTCTTTCCCTAGTTCCCATTGGGGCTTGCCCTGCAGCACAGAGCCCTGTGAATGTGGCACAGAACACTTCCCCTAAACTGGGTTCTGTGAGAAAGGAAGAGGATGACATGGATGCCAGGTAGCAATTTACAGCACTTGTAAATTGTGTCACCAAGTGGTAGAGCAGTGCCACAAAACTGTCAAAACACAATCAATTCAGATCCTTTGAGCCTGATCACAATGTTTTATGTCTTGACTGCAGCAACAGTTGATAGGTGTTTGTATCTGTCTAAACTCACCAAATGATTCACGCATTTTATTGAATGGAAGATCTGTCTCAATAAAGTCAGCTTTTAAAATACTCCAGATTCCAGTGACAGAAGACTAGATGACCAACATTCAGTACATCCACATAATATTGTTCAGCCTTAAAAAAAGAATGAAATTCTGACATACGCTGTAACATGAATAAACCTTGAACACAGGAGGTGAAATAAGCTAGTCACAAAAAAACAAATAGTGCATGGTTCTACTCTATGTGTAATAACACTGAGTCATTAATATTCATAGGAACAGGAAGCAGAATGGTGGTTTCAGGGGTTGAGGGAAGAAGGAACAAAGGTTATTTGGTGGTTGTAGAGTTTGAGTTTGAACCTTGCAGAGATGGGTGGTAGCAATGGTTGCACAACAACGTGAATATGTAAATACCACTGCTCCTTATGCTGATGGTTTCCATCTGCTGGTTCATTCCCCACATGGCTCCAACAACCAGGGCTGGGCCATGCTAAGCCAGGAGCCCAGAACTCCACCAGGCTCTTCCACATGATGGCAGGAACCCAAGGACTTATGCCATCATCAGCTGGCTGGCAGACATATATGCAGGAAGTTGGGTTGGAAACAGAGTAGCCAAAACTGGAGCTGGCATTCTGTGCCGAGTGCAGGTATCCTGAGCTATGGCTTAACTCAACTGCAAACATAGTACACATCCTTACTTCTATTTTATGAACTGGTTGGCTTCTGTCCTTTTTTTTTTAATCATGCATCTATAATATAACTTGTTTATCATCAAAACAAAAACAAAACCCGGGGGTGGCAGTGTGATGAAGCCTCTGTTCTAACTCTAGATGCTCCACTTCTGAGCCAGCTCCCTGCTAGAAAGGCAGCAGAGGGCGGCTCAGGGCTGGGTCCCTGCCACCATTTCTGGGTGCTACAGAGATCAAGCCAGGCTAGTCTAGGATACATTAAGGAGTCTTTATTAACCAAGCTTGGGAATAGCAGGGCCCACTAGAAATTAGCAAATAACAAGTTCAGTGACAATCCAATCTGAATTGAAATCCTGAGAGGAACACTACCCTGAAGTCTTTCCATTAAACTGAAGACCTGTGTCCCAGCTTCCCCAGCAATCTAAGTTATCCTAAGACACGTACAGCGAACAACCTGGGCACACTTACAAAGCTGCAGACATTCACTTTTTCCTGGCTTCTCTGCTCACATTCCATTACTGCCAGGCCTTACCATACCTGGAACTCCCAAAAGTACACAAATTAGAAATACAAAAAGCATTTTAGCGTTAATATCTTTACTGACTCACGCAAGCAGTGAACAGAGGGTGAGGAATACAGAGATACGTGAGCCAGGTCCAGGGATTACTTGTTCTCGGAGTCGGTCAGCAAGATGCCAGACAGCAAGCAGCTCCTGGGGAGGCCGCGAGTCAGAGTGCCGGAGCAACAAAAGCAGGTGACCAAGACAGCCAGCCCCTCCCTCCAATGGGCCTTTTTACCGGTTCGTTAGGGGAGTGGTTACGCAACAAAGCAATACCATCTCCTCTCGGGTTCCAGGTGAGGATAGGTAAGTGTCACAGGTGGGCAGGAAGGACCACAGAGGCAGGGGAGGTGTAACTTTCAAGCTTCTCACCCTGAACTAGTTCCTTAGGACCACAACACCACCCACTTGGGAGACCTAAAGCAGCTTCTGGCTTAGCCTGCTCTAGCCCTAGCCATTGGAGTCATCTGGGGAGAAAGCTAGTGGATGGAGAATCTCTCTCGCTCTTTCTCTTTGCCTCTACCCTTCTCTGTGTAACTTTATCAAATAAATAATTTTTTTTTTTAAAGAAACAAACTGCCAGGCAAGGTATGGTAGCATAGTGGCTTAAGTCCTTGCTTTGCAGCCGCCAGGATCCCATATGGTCACTGGTTCATATCCCAGCTGCTCCACTTTCCCACCCAGATCCCTGCTTGTGGCCTGGGAACGCAGACGAGGAGGGCCCAGAGCCTTGGGATTCTGCACTCACATGGGAGACCCAGAAGAAGCTCCTGGCTCCTGGCTTCAGATTGGCTTAGCTCTGGCCATTGTGCCTGCTCAGGGAGTGAATCAGCAGAAGGAAGCGCTTGCTCTTTGTATCTCCTTCTTTATGTATATTTGCCTTTCCAATAAAAAAAATAAATAAAAATAAAAGTGTTCATTTATTTGAAATGTCGAGTTCCAGAGAGAGACAGAAAGAGACTTCCATCTGCCAATTTGATCTAGCGTGAGTCAAACCAAAGCCAAGAGCCTGGAGCTCCTACACGGACAGTTGGGTCCAGGCGCTTGAGTCACCTTAGCTGCTTCCTCAAGTGCATTAGCTGGGAGTTGGATTAGAGTAGTTGGGACTGACTTACAGGTAGGTTGTGAACTTAATCAACTGCCCTATAGTGCCACTCGCTGTGCACTCCAGAAATTTCTACACCCCGTATTTTGCAGATGAAAGTATTAACATTTCCAAAGGTCACGTAGCTGACCTTAAGCTAGCGCCTAAGTGCAGACTAAACCTATTCCTTACTCCTAGCCCATCCTGAAAGGTCCATCATGTCCATCTCTTCAGAAGGGCCAGCTGCCGTTATCCCAGACGAGCTATGGAAGGATAGAACTGGAACATCTCTGTGTCCCCACAGTGCCACAACGTCTGGTCCAGAGCTGAAACCAGTAAGGAACACAGCAGACAACTCCACACATAGGTCAGGACTCTTCATTCAGGAGTCCAAGCAGTCGAGAGGGCTGGCGCAGATTTGTATCTAGGAACGTACTTGGGAGAGAGTAGAAAAAGTGTGAGGCCTTGAAGGACCACAGCGTTCCTAGAGACAGCACAGGTACCCACGGACCTCTAGCTGTACCAAGTAGGGAGCAAAGGCTGCGGGCCGCGGGAGCCCGGCCGGAACACTTAGGGGGCGGGACCGGGGCGCGGCCGGACTCTGGAGGCGGGACCGGACGGGGCGAGGCAGGGGCGGGGCCTTGCGCCAGGGGCGGGGCGAGGCCGGAGTTTCTAGGAGGGGTGGAACGAGGCCGGGGACTTGGGCGGGACTTCGCTCCAGGGGCGGGGCCGTCCGCCCCATCCCGGAAGCCCTCGTGGCGCCTCCTAACGGTCGCCCGGCGGCGCGCGGCCAGCGGATGGCTTCCGACGCTGACCGCCGTGAGGCGGGCGCGCAGTGGGCACGGGGCCAGCGTCCGGAACCTCCGCCCCCGCCGCCGCCGGCACGCAGAGCCGCTCCCGCCACGGCCGCGGGGCTCGGGGCGGGGAGAGTGGGGAGCGGCCGGTTCCCCCGCCGCCCGGTCGCACAGGTGCGGCCGGCGCTCCCGCGAAGATGCGGCCGGTGTCTTAGGATGAGGTGTTAGTAGCAGGTACCTTGGAGGAGGGAGACGACAGCCGGGAGGGTCGTTCTTCGCAGGGCTGGGAGCGATTCGCGTTCATTTCTGGAAGGTTCCAGCTCCCGTGTGTGTTTTGCGCACTGTGGATGCGCCGGACGCTGTTTACGGAACGGGCTGCTGTTGCTTTCGGGGATCTTTCGACCCCTACGACCGTGGCCTTGAACCCGGATTTCTAAGACCTCGGGGCCTGTGCGGTTAATGCTGGGCCGGGAACAAGCTCAGATCCGGGCCAGAGAAGGGGAGGGTCCAGCCAGCATCCCCATCGGCAGGTTCTGACAGCACACCAGGACCTAACCTTGCCCTACATCTCTCAACCAAAAAACATCATACGTGCTTGAAAGTCCCCATCCTTTTCTGCCAAAGTCTGCAGCAAGCCCCTGTCCCGCTGTTATACAGTTAGTGAGTGTATCCCTGTGCACTTTAAGGCCAGGGCGGAGTAAGAGTGCTGTAACATCAGATTAATTGCCAGGAGTTGTGACTGCCAGTCGTCACCAGCAGATCCAGCAGGAAAGGGCCTGGGCATCTAGGGTCCCAAAGCCCAGCCAGCGTGACAAGTTCTGGGTAAGGGAATGGGTGGAGAACTCTGGCTCTCCGACCTGTGCCGCTTGCCTCCCGTTTATTGTTGAAGATTTTGAGAGGGAGAATCAGATCTCGCATTGGTTGGTTCACTCTCCAGGTGCCTGCAGCAAATGCATGGCGCTCCACTTGCAGCTCTCCGTGTGGGTGGCAGGGACCCTTGTACTCTGGCCACCTTCCACTGCCGTCCCAAGTGCATCACCACAGATCAGAAATGGAACAGAACTCCAGCCTGGGCTCATATGGGACGCTGGGGTCCCGGGCAGTGCACCTGTCCTCTGTGTTTAGTCTACATAGAGTTATCTATTCAGGTTGTGAGTGAGGTGGTTTTCATGCCATGGAGATGTTATACTTCAGAAGTAAACTGAGCACAGTAGTTGCCAATGACTTATTCAGTTTGTATGCAAAGCCCTTACTGTTACCAACTTAAGTAACACAGAAAGTCTCCAAAGAATAATGACATACATTTGGGGATGGAACGGTGCAATAGGAATACATAAACCATAGCAAACTATGAGTGTATTGAGAGAGGTTACTGCCAGGAGAGGATTTTAAATGTTTATTAACTTAATTTTCTTCAACTTGACAGACAGAACAAGGAAAAGAAAGAGATCTTCCATACACTAGTTCACTCCCGATACCTGCTACAGCCAGGGCTGGACCAGGCCAAAGCTGGGAGCTCCCTCTGGGTCTGCCCTGTGGGTGGCAGGGCCCAAGCACTTAAAGCCACCTGTCGTTCGCTGCTTCCCAGCATGCATCGGCAGGAAGCTGTGTTGGAGGCATAGGGGCAGGGACTCAACCAGCCCTCCAATATAGGATGTCTTGTTGATAGGGGATTGTGGCTGTGGTAAGCTGCAGCTTAACCAGATGTACCACAGCAAGCACCCCCAAGGGGACAATTTCAAAGGCGAAATGAGAATGATGAAGATGATGTAATTTGAAAGGATAGTTCTTGTCTCAGGCTGAGCAGACCATAGGCAGCCAGGTGTCCTTGCAGAGGTGCTGTTGGTGACGTGGCGGTGGCTTTTGTGTAAGGTTCTCGTCACAGCCATCTTTTTGTGATCAGGCATGCATGCACCATTTCCCTCCATCATAACATCTCAGCCTTGTATTTAGATACATAAATACTATTATTTGTTTATTGGCTTGGCAAAAAGAAGGAAAGACAGAGTGCTGGTGAGCAAGCCTGCCCGCTGCTGGTTCACTCCCCAAATGCCCACACTGCTCTGCAGCTGGGTTGCCTGCCGAAGCAGGAGCCAGGAACTCAGTCAAGTCAGGAAGCCAATTTCTTGAGCCAGCAGGAAGCTGAAATTGAAGGGGCATCCAGGAGTGTAAACTAGTAACCACCTGCCCCCAAATTCTCCCTTTGGGTCACAGTCTGCCAAGGCTGCCGGTTAACAGTGAGATCAAACCCCAAACACCCGCAAGCCCGGCTGAATCATTCAGTTCTGCCCAAAAGGCAGGCGGGGCGCGGAACCGTAGGGAGGACCGGAGCGCGGGGCGGAGGCTTAGAGGTGTCCCCGCCTCGCCTCCCGCGGCTGCGATCTGCATATTCATACTGCACCTCGGGGAAGACAGCTCCACGAAACTTAATTTCCACGCCCGAGGGTGCCTCTACACTACTGTAGGGCGTTGCAGCGTTAGAAATGGTTGAATGAGTAAATACCACGGGGATAACGTGCATTCAGTGAAGCGGTCAGTCACCCTAAGCGTGTAAGGATGATCGCTCTTCAGGTGCGTGGATACCTCACCTTGTAATCATACTCTGGTTTCTCTTCAGATCGTATAAATCTTTCGCCTTTTACTAAAGATTTCCGTGGAGAGGAACAAATCTGAGTCTTTATCCAATTTTTTGAGGCTTCGCTTCCAGCGAAGCTCACATTTGTTGTCAAAAGAAAGACTTAGATTTCCCATTTGTTGTTCCTGTGGTTGTTGTGCAGATGTAATGTAGTTGAGGGAAGAACCGTCAGCAGCGTTGTATCCCCGCGTGCAACCTGATGTTGCATGTGCAAAGCTAACTTTGCTGGGTTACTGTGCCAACCCTTACATGTGGAGAATTTTGAGAAGTTAATAGCGGCTTTGGGATCCTTAAGTGGCAGGAAGGCTGTCATCTCAAAGGACTGGGGCACCATTCCTTTGATAGAAATAGGATTTATGTAGGATATTGGCAGGCAATAGTTGCGAAGTTTTAAGAGCAAAATATGGAATGAAAGCAGTAAGGGGTTAAAAGTCACCAGCTAAATAAATGGCCAGGGGAAGCTAACTGGGGGAGAGCTTTTGTAGTTACCAGTGTTAGTTATTTAACGCGCAGCTAATTCCCGCAACCTGGTTCTTTACTGTGAGCTGAAAACGCCAGACACAACAAGGCATCTTAGGGATTGGGGGTGGGAGTGGAGGAGAGGCGAGGAGGAAAAGGGGAGGGGGAAAGAGAGGCCGGAAGGAGGAGAGACAGAGCCGCACCTGGGCGCCTTTTTGTCTGCAAGGTGTGTGTGGGGGGAGGTGGGGAGGTGGGGAGGTGGGGAGGCGGGATTGGGAGGGTTTGAGGGCAGGACCCAGGGGATTGCTGCCTGCAGGTGAATGCCTGGGGATGATTGGTGAGTGGGCAGGATTGGGGAAGGGGCTGAAAGATTGAGGGTGGGATTCTCAGGCAGAATGCCGGGTTACACCTGATTGGTAGATGGCTAGACCAGAGCTGTGAGGAAGAGGAAATGGCACCGGGTCCAGGGTGGGATATTCTAATAATTCCTTACAACCAGAACTAGTCCCTGATTTGGGGGGAAGGGGGATAAATCCAGATCCAGCAGGTAGTATTAATGCAGGGTTTTTTTTTTCTGATTTATTTTTATTGGAAAGGCGGATATAGAAAGGAGAGACAGAGGAAGATTCTCCTGGTTCATTCCCCAAGCGGCTGCAAGGCTGGAGCTGAGCCAAGCTGAAGCCAGGAGCCAAGAGCTTCTCCGGGTCTCCCACGCGGCTGCAGGGTTCCAAGGCTTTAGGCCATCCTCGACTGCCTTTCCAGGCCACAAGCAGGGATCTGGGTGGGAAAGTGGGGCAGCAGGGATAAAAATAAATAAATCTTTTTTTGTTGCTGTTACATTTCATTCTATGATACCGTTTCATAGGCTCTGGGATTCCTCCAACCACTCCCCATACCCTCCTCTTATGGTGGATTCCTCCACCTTGTTGCAGTATTACAGTTCAAATCCAATCATAATTATTTCATTGCAAGCATGTATTTTGCATAGTGTCCTGCATCTTATTGTCCAGATAAATTCAACAGTTTCTTGGGGAGACCATCTCTGATCTGAAGGCAAAGCTGGCAAAATATCATCCTGACCAATTAAAAGCCATAACAACATCAACAACAGTTTACAACACTATGGAGTTAATTGACATGGTATTGAGTGACCAATATGTTAAAAAATGCAAGTTCTTAATCACGTTCTGTGACTACTCACTGACATTTCTATTTTAGTTTATACACAACTGGCTGCTATACACCTTAAAATGGCTATAGGGTACTATTCAGCTGTCTCATGTCTTTTCATTTTTTATTTAGCAGTTTATAGTGTTGAAGCATAATTTTTACTGAACTTGGCGGATTTTAGGGTAGTCCAAACTGGCTTATAACTCTAACAAGGCATATGTCAACAGTTGAGGTGCAGAACAGTTTTAGGAGGGGTGTGCAGAGAAATCTTCAATACCCCAATGAGGAGTAACTTATTTTCGTGTCTTACCAGTAAGGTATATGTGAGTCCACGCTGAAGGTTTTCCATCTGGTTCTAAACTTTCCTTGTTGTTCTCTGCTTATCTATTCTATTTTTTTTGTTTTGTTTTGTTTTGTTTTGCTTTTGGCGGGGGGGGGGGGGCGGGGGCACCGGAGCTACCCTGATGGACATTGCAGGAGAGGGTGGGGATCCAAAGTTGGAACTAAGTAAGGACCAGAGAAAACTCCTCTCCCTAGTCCCAAAGGAAGTTTACTGTTCTTCTGTTTCTGCAGACCACTCATAGCTCCTGACTGTTGTTCCGATGACATTTGATCCTGCAAGGAAGGATTTGGGCTTCTTCCATCTCATGTGGGAGATCCAAACGGGAGTGGATGACCTCAGAGTTCTTGGCCTCCGAAGGCACTCCAATCCCTCTTGGTCTCCTTGGCGGTTGGGACGTAGTCCTTGGTGCCCTTACTGATAGTCCTTTGTGAGGATCCAGGAGTCTCCAGGGTTGGGATACAAGCCTCCTCCTGTCCACCTGCTCCATTCTGGGGTCCGCTCCCCTGCTCTGTGTATATGAACTCCTGTTAAGAAGTTGTCAGGATCGCTCTTGATTCCCCCTGTCTGTCTTTGTAGTTTTACTATTGTTTAATGCTGATTCGAGTCTGCTGATTCGAGTCTGCTGTCTATAAATTACCTGTTATGTTCTTGATAGGCTAAAAAAAAGTTTTTCTTAAGTCAGGTCATCAAGTTACCTGCAGAAGGTACTAATTTGAATGACATCAGTATCTTGTGTGAAAGATAATGCGTCAATAACCCCACTATTATTGTGCTTTTCCAAGGAGCACCAATGCCCTCTGGTTTGTTGGGAGACACATTTTCTTTTCTTTCTTTTTTTTCTTAAAGGTTCTTTTTGTTTGTTTGTTTTTTGAAAGGCAGATTTACAGAGAAAGAGAGACAGAAAGAGCTTCCACCCGCTGGTTAACTCCCCAAGTGGCCACAACGGCAAGCCAGGGCTTCTTTCGGGTCTCCCATGCAGGTGCAGGGTCCCAGAGCTTTGGGCCATCCTCTGCTGTTTTCTCAGGCCACAAGCAGGGAGCTGGATGGGAAGTGGACAGCTGGGGCACAAACCAGTGCCCATATGGGAACCTGGCTGCAAGGCAAGGACTTTAGCCACTGTGCCATCCATCACACAGGGCCCAAGCACAGGGATTTTAAGGGCAAGGTGCAGATATGATGGGCCCAGAAGAGAAGGCAGCGTGTCCATAGAAGCAGAAACTGAATTCATGTGACTGTTCAGCTGACAGCCAAAAGAGGAGCTTTTCTCTTGTGGAGCTTCCGGAGGGAGCTCAGCTGCATCAACATCTTGATTTCAGCTCTGTGAGCTACCTTTGGGCTGGGAGGGAGTAAATATCTGTTTTAGGCCAAGCCTGTTGTTATTTGATCTGGCAACTATAGGAAACTAATACTAATAGCTGGGGCAATAGTTGGTATACCAGTGGAGATCACTGTATGTTTTCTTTTTTTAATTTATTTGTTTATTTTTACCTTTCTTTAAAAATTTTTTTTATTTTGACAATCTTTACATAGTTAATTAGGGTAAAAAGGTTCAAGGGCTACAGGAAAGTGGGTAAGACTATCATTTCCATACTGTTTCCTTCATGTATCTGAGGTAAAGGGGGGATATTGAGGGAGAAGCCCCACCCAGTTTCCTACCCACTCCAGGTCCCAATTGTGGGGCATGCTCTGAGATTCTTGCTCAAGTGGTTTTGATAGTTTACCAGCCATGAATTGCTGCCAGTCTCGCCACTCTGAGCATGATGAGGTCCTTGAAGAATCCACTGACTGTCATAGTCCATCATAGAGTCTCCGTTTGCCCAGTATTTCACTGCCAACATATAGTTGAGGTGGTTGCTTGACTTGTTCTGTCTTCTGTCTTTTCTTGGTTAGGGTTCTGAGTCAGGCAGTTCGGTTGGGGAGATCCCCAAAGAAACTTTGTGGTGTTCCCAGACCAGATTCTTGTGTGTTCTAGCAAGTACAGGACCCAGCACAGTCCACCGTCCTGATCAGCTGGTGGTTGCAATTGCTGGGTTGGTTCTTTTTTCACTGTATGTTTCCTTAAATCTCACCAAGGAAAGGATTTGAAGGGGAAATTTGTACAAAAGAAACTAAGTGGTGTTTAAGGAAGGAGTTTAACACTTAAAACAATTTTTAAAAGCACTTAAAATATTCCCAGTAATGTATCACTCTGTCCTGGTTCAAGATTCCTGGTAAAAAGGAATCTTGGGCTTGGCCCCTTAGCTAAACCTTGATTGGCATCTACTGCTTGTATATCAAATAAAAGTAGCAGACCATTGGTGATGGAGGGCCAAATCTGTGTTGAAGAGGAAATCTAAAACTGCTTCCTTTCAAGGTTTGGCAAAATCTTGTTGCCAGCATCCTGTGGCTGCCTGGGATGCAGAGACACTGGAGTTCTCAAAGTGCAGGAGAGAGCTGTGTTCAGGTTGAATTCATTGCCTTGTAGGGTTAAGGCAGCTGAGTTATACTTCCCATACTCACCCAGTCTGCTTCTTTTGACATTTTTTCCTTAGGTACAATTTACATACCGTAAAAATCACCTGCTTTTAAGTGTGCAATCCAGTAATTGTTAGTACATTAGTTATGCAATTCAATTTTAGCACATTTCCATCATCTAAAAAAGATCCTCTATAACTACTTGCAGTTCATTCCTTTTCCCACAGCAGTGCAAATCCCCTTTCTGTCACTGGCCTGTTTTAGAGTTGGGTTGAGTCCTAGGCAGGACTTCCCCAGCGGGTCTCTGTCTTAGTCCATTTGCTATTGCTCTAACAGAGTCCCTTAGAGTAACTACATTTGAAATAGAGAGATTTATTACTCTGTGATTCTGGAGACCGGGAAGTCCAAGATTGGGTGGCTGATCTGGTGGGGACCTCATGCTGCATCGCAACACGATGGGAAAACAGAAGAGCTGGTAACCACATGGAGCAGGGCAGAGACAAGAGGCAACTTGCCTTTTTTTTTTTTAATTTATTTTTTATTGCAAAGTTAGATATACAGAAAGAAGGAAAGACAGAGAGGAAGAGTGAACCAGTGAATGGAAGATCCTTTATATCTTTCCTGCTCTCCCTATAAAATATGCCTTTCAAATA